AGGAATTCTCCTTGCCCAAAGGAATGTCTCCTTCCTCTCCTCTTCCCACAAAAAAATAAAATCCTGTCTCCCACACAGGATAATCCAAATTCTCACTTCAGGGGCAGGAAACCTCAAACACACGCCACTCTTGATCTCCTCCGGTGTCTCACCCTGGAAATGGCCTGGATAAAAATATGACCACAGACACACATGGGAGGAAACATACTAACAATACCACACGTAGGAGCTCTATTTATTTTTAAAAGTGAGAGAGTCCTCAGCCTCATCCATAGGAGCTGACTCCTAGGGGCTGAAGTCTTACCGACCCCCAGTAAAAAAAAATGGGGGGGGCTAGGGGTCCCCAAAGTTGATGGGCATTGCCATTCAAATGGTGTCTGTGTGCACTGTATCTTGTGATTGATTATGTGGGATGAGGTTTACCTAGGAGCCCTCTGCAATATTTTATTGAAGTTGGCACCCCTGCAATCCAAACAACCCCCAGCAGACTTGGCTTATGTCATTCCCTTCCCCAGCACCAATGCAAATTTTGCTGATTTTGGGAGTCCTGGGCAGCTGCAGACCTGATGTTAAATGCTTCCTTTCAGCCACAGGCTCTTGGAGACAACTGCTTCTGCAAAGGGATCTGGTTTTTTTGTTTTGTTTTGTTTTAAGTTTGCACATGTCTCAGCTAGCTGCCTCCATGCCATGCACCTCATTTGGCGGCTGCATTCTAATTTAATTTAGATTGCAGCCCTCCAGATGTTGCTAGAATCAGCTAACAGGACCAACAGAGATGATGGGACTTGTAGTCCAGCAACATCTGAAGGGCCATAGATTCTCCATCCCTTAAGTGTCTGAAAAGAAGCTGGATCCTGTGGAACAACAGTGCTAGCAACTCACACTAAAAGGACAAAATAGGGCCAATAATTTATCAGGGACAAGTCCCAGGAAACAGGGATTGCAATGGTTGGAGTATATAGAAACCAAGGCCAGTTGTGCTTTGCTAGCTAATTTGCTACTAGTTCCAGAGGTTCCTGATAGGCAAGAAGTAGGATCTGACCAGTTGTTTAAGTTTTCCTCGGAATTGATTTGCTTTGCACCAGGCAGGCCTTGCATGTTGGCTTGACGTTCTGGAATTCTGCATCCAGCCTTAAATCTGCCACTCTGGCCTGAGATCACCTACTGCTCAGCCTCACAATGTTCCTCCACTCTGCTTTGCTTAATCCTGCTGCTGATTTGTCAGGGGGAAAGTAGCCTGACCTGCTTCTGTGCTTTTTCAGCCATTTGATCTGGGGCAGGAATCAGTAATGTGAAATGTTTCGTAACATGGTGCTAAGCATTATCACCCACTGATGCCTGCAGATCAAGCTGCTATTAAAGGCACAGGAGCAAGGAGTGGTAAAAAAGAGAGCTGGCAATGCTACCACTGGTCTTACAGAAAGCTGTCAACATGCCACTCCGCAGTCTGTTCCTGTCAGGGCTGGAGTCAGATGCAGGTCAGCACAGAGAAGCAGTTGCCAGTGAAGTTAACTCTTTATTCAAGAAAACGGCATACAACTCAGCAACATTTCCCAGTAGGTCTTGCCCCTATAGGGCAGTTACCGGGACTGAAGGTCCCTCCCTGCCTTCCACAATCTCTAAGGCTTCTCCTCTCCCAGATGTTTGCGTGGTGAGTTCCCGCCCCCCACCAGGATAAATAAAGACACAAGACACCATAATTTAAGGTTAAATGGGCGAATTAGGCCACAACTTTATTGAATTCAGGAATGAGAGGCATTGGCTTTAGGCACTGGTCCTATCGACTATCCGGCTCCAGCCCATTTGCTGGAGACACGGGAAGGGTTAACACCATAGAGGGGGAGTCTCCTGCTGAGGCACATCAACTAGGAGCTCCCCCGGGTCACCGCTCTGGGGTGTGCCTTTGGCCCACACCTCCATAGGCTTCGGACAGGGCCACGCCCCCCGGAGTCCTTTATCGGACCACCCTTCGTTCACTGGGGGGAGGTGATGGCGTTCCTCCCCCACACACATCCTCTTAACCCCTTCTTACCAATGCCTAACCGCCACACGAGCAATCGCTCGCCGCCAATACTCTCATGCCTGAAACCAATCACTTATCCCCTTTGCTATATCCATCAGCCAAACATCATTTCCAGCATCCGACAGATGCACGCCAGCGAAAAGAGGGCAAGCCCCCTCTGCGCCAGCCCTAAATAGGGCAGGCCACGCCCCCCCCCCAGCCAGCTGATTGGCTGGCTGGGGGGGAAGACGCACCGGGATTCCCCTGTTCTCGCGGGGGCTGAAACCAGCCCCCGCTCACGTGGGGGTGGGCGTGAAGCCCGCAACCCCACCTCCTGGGCAGGCCGGAAGTGGCTTTCCCAAACAGTCTCAAAATGCATCTGACCACCTCTGGTCTCTGTCCTGTGAGTTATTGGAGACCAGGAGGAGGGGAGCGTGTTGCATCTGGAGAAGGAGAATCTCTGGATTCTTAAGCAGTCTCTTGACCCCTGACCCCCCTCGGCTTCAGCCTCAGAATCTGAACTGCTCCCGTCACAGGTTCCTCCTACTCACTAAACTCTGTTGTCCCTTCAGCATCCGACAAATCCTCCCACTCTTCCCTCTCTGAACTCTCCTCAGTGTCCCACCACCAATCCCCAGGCTCTGACCTTTCCTCCTCTGGGGCTTCCCTTGGCACCTCCCACCACGCCTTGTCATCCAGCCAATGCCTGACAGTTCCCAACCACGCTGAGGGAAGCAGCCACAGCCAGTTTGAATGAGTGGGAGATGGACCTGAGCGAAGGCAGGTTTGACTCAGGTCCACCCCCAAAAGTGTTGCCCCCATAACTTGGCCATGATTGGCCAAATCAGATTTGAAATGAGCAACTGTCCTGTCACTCTTCATGGCCGGCTGAGCCTGATGACATTACCAGTCAGCCGTGTAGGAAGTTTATTTCGTGGAGCTCCCAGCTTGTCCCCAGCTGCACCGGGCCATAACTGCCTCTGTTGCCCCTGAAAATGGTAAGCAGTCTTTGGCAACGTTACTACTGGTATTACAGAAATCTGACATGTCAATTCTCAGATCTGTTAAAATACATCACTTAATTCATCATCGGATCTCATACAATTTATACTTTTCAGCTGGTTGTGAAGACATCGACTTTCCCACACAAATCCTCGCAGAGCCCTGAGTGAGAAAAGATCAGCGGTTAAGTGAACAAGTTTACTTTGGAAATTGAAAATAAATATGGAAAGCTCTTTTTATTTCACCTTAGCTGGTGGAATGTACAGCTCAGAACTACAAAGTAACACTGACAGGTTTAATATAAGTATAAGAGGGCTTCTGAGCTGCAATTTATATTTCAAAGTCCCACCGGAGGCTCCAGGGGACTTTTTTATTGTTCCAATTCTTTCTTCTTGTATTTCATATGACATCACAGGAGACTGTTTATTGGCTGGAACTGCAAGTCAGACATGTGCCAAAACTTTCAAATATAAATGAAATACAGAACATGTCAGCTTTACACAGCTTCCACTACCTTCACAGGGCTGAAGGGAAGGATAAACCCTTTTCACTGTATCTTAAGAGTCAACATTTTGACGTGCATTATACTGCACCAACTCCGGAGAAGTGCTTTGAGAAAGAAAAGGGTTGATTTCAAAAGCACTGCTGAGAATTATTAGCATTGTTTCACCCAATGGGGCAGGGAGAAGGAGGACGTGAACTGAAGGCACAGTTTTAACACAATTTAAGTTATGTGTGTATGTCCACTGTCCACCGACCAATGTCACAATTCAGTGTGTTTCTCTGGAAGAAACCTGGCAGATTTCTCTGCAAACATCCATAGAGGAGACAATGATTTTGGTATCCTGCTGCAGCAGCTGCCTCCTTCTCACATAAAGGTTGACCGATTTTCTCCCCAGGATAAGGAACCTGCAGATGTGCAGTAAGACTTATTAACTGTGCTTCTCTCCCACAGATTTCAAAGCCCCTTTCTTCATCTTAAAGCCATCCCTTCTGTTGCAGCTGGATCTGATGGAAGTTACACGTGGAGTCTGTCCTTCTCTATAATAAGAAACCTCTTCATAGGTTGTAATCTTTTTTATTAAAAAAAACAAACTTGAGGAGTTGGTATTCTCTGGAATACCAACAGGCTTTGTTATGCCAAGCAACAGCATGGTTTAAACACCCCACATCATAAATCAACACACAGGTTGTTGTTGTAATAGTAGTAGTAGTAGTTGTTGTTGTTGTTGTTTAATGGTGTCTGCTGTTGGACCTCCACCAGCACAAAAGAGAGGATCTCCAAATAGTACAAAGCCCACAGACAAAATCAATGGGACCTGTACACTGTATAAAAGGTAATAAATGTAACTGGTAAATATAACAATATAATATATTATAGCAATAGTACATAAGAACGTATGTGAAATATATCATGACATATGAAAAACAGACTCACACTGTAGTCAAAACAGAAGACCAAAAATGTAAATATCCCATGCAGCTGAATTTAAAAAGAATGTATTGTGAACAAAAACATATATATGCTGTGTTAAGGTGCATAACATTGCATTGAGAAAGAGAGAGGTCACGTCAGATATTTAAAGGTTGCATTCAAATATTTCTTTTAATTATTCATAAAGGTAAAGGTAAAGGTACCCCTGCCCGTACAGGCCAGTCGCGTCCGACTCTGGGGTTGCGCGCCCATCTTGCTTAAGAGGCCGGGGGCCAGTGCTGTCCGAAGACACTTCCGGGTCACGTGGCCAGCGAGACGAAGCTGCTCTGGCGAGCCAGCACCAGCACACGGAAACGCCGTTTACCTTCCCGCTATAAAGCGGTACATATTTATCTACTTGCACTTAAGGGTGCTTTCAAACTGCTAGGTGGGCAGGAGCTGGGACCATAAGACGGGAGCTCACCCTGCCGCGGGGATTCGAACCGCCGACCATACGATCGGCAAGTCCTAGGCACTGTGGTTTTACCCACAGCGCCACCCGCGTCCCTATATATATACATATACATGCATATATATATATGTGTGTGTGTGTGTGTGTGTGTGTATACACACACACACACACACATGCATGCATGTTGAAATTTGTGGTTTTAAATGCAATTGTGTGAATATTTCAATTATATGTTTTGAAAATATAGAAGGAAAAGTGTTTCAGCACAAATGAAATATCAATTTAAAAAAATTAACACACCGATAAAATGCTACTGACAGGAGAGTTAACAGCCAAGGAGTGCTGAAGTAGATGTATGATGAGAGGTTCATTTGCCCATTATGTCGCTGCTTTGATCATTGACTGATCTTATTTTTATCTTTCTTCCTTTATATTTAAAGGACAGGCCTTGAGGGAATTCCCACCTAAAGATAATTCTGTTACTTCTCAACAGGGCAACCAGATCTCCGTAATTAAGCCTTAAATCCAAAAGATGTTTTGGAATATCCTTCAATATCTCCACACTTGAGTCGTAAATTTCTAGAGTCTTTTGGTAATGCAGATTCAAGATTTTGTCTCTCTCCTCTTTTGTTCGAAGGGTGATCAAGCAGTCTCTCACCTTGTTCTTCCTTCCTCCTCTTCCAAGTCTAAATGCACTCACTATCTTAAATTCTTCCTTCCCCAAATCCTGTTGCCAGAAATCTGCAAATTCCTGCGTAAGAAAATCAGCCAAATTATCTTTCTCACGTTCTGGTACAGCCCTGATTCTTAAATTTCTTTGTTTCTCCTTCAATTCAATCATAGACAACGTCAAACCGTGGTCCTCCAGTTGCCTATATATCGGTGGTATCTTCTCTTGAGTAGCAGTTGCTATATCTTTTGCTTCTTCAGCTATCTTTCGGGTCGAAGCAGATTCCTGTAGTAATTTTTCAATAGACTCTGTGTTGGTATTCACCTTCTGTCCCAAATTATTGATGCTTGTAGTATTTTGGTCAATTTTAACTGATGCTTCGGCTACTTGTTTATTTGTTTCAGCTACTTGTTTAGCTAAATTTTCCAAAGATTCATTAATTTTACCAAGTGCCTGAGCCAAAACGTCTTCGGACGACATAACTTTTGGTTTAACTTGTGGAGGTGCAGCCCCTGGTATTCCAGATGGTCCAGAAGGACCAGATGTTGAAGCCCTTCGCTGCAACCCAGTATCTGTCCGATAGGGTCTGCCAGACCTAGTAGTTTTTTCCTGCGTCAACTCTAACTTTCCTCTTCCATCTGCCATAACACTCTCATGAGAGTCCAAGGTCGATCCCACGGCTGGAATTTGTTTTGAAATGGAAAATTCCTCTAGCCCAGTTGTTATTGTAGCAATGTCAAGCCTCCTCTAGGGGGACACAGTAACAGCCAAGGCTTGCAACTTTAAGAAAAGAAAATATCCTTATAAGTCCCCCAATTCACATAAAAACAACAGTTTCAGTTGCACTTAATCAGTTACTTTAAAGCCAGGAGAAGTTCAGAAACACTGTATCTCTTTTGCAGAGTTAGCTGTCAAAAGTCTTCTGCTTACCGATAGGCTTTCCACAGAGCGGCATTTCTTATCTCGGGGCAGTCCGTTCCCAGGTTTTAGGCGGTGGATTTTAGCTCTCCCCCCCCTTTTTTTGCAGATAAATACAGTTCAAACCTTTTCCCCCTCCTCTCCTGCAATCTGGAGGGGAGATCACTTTCCTGATGTTGAGATTTAAATCTTTTTTCAAACGTCTTTCGGAGTTTCCGCTTACAGTCTCTTTGCTTTGATCTATTTACAAGAAAGGAAGGCAGACTTCCTGTTTATACCTTCCCGCTTCGGTGCCGAATTAACTTGTTTTTCCCTTTAAATCCAATTTAATCCTACTCACGGGTAGTTGCTTTCAAAGTCAGATTGTCTCAGGAAAAAGTCAGCGCTCTCTGATAACGGCTATGCGGCTTCACTCCGCGGAAGAAGCAGTCGACTCTCAGCACCGCGCCGCTCACCCCGTCTCGCTCCGGAGCCCTTAAAAGGGTCCCTTCGCAGTTTGGGGGGGCGCAAAAGGTGCCCGCCGAGTCCCCACGTTCACAGGCTTCACCCGCCTGTGATTTTTAAAGGGTCCCCACTTCGCTGCAGCGGTCAGACCCGATCCTGTGGAGCTGGTCCCTCAGAAACTCAGAGGGAGTCCGCCATTACCGATGGCGCCAACCCGGAAGTCCCTAGGCGCTGAGGTTTTACCCACAGCACCACCCGCGTCCCTTTAATTATTCATAGCTTCCCTCAAAGAATCCTGGGAACTGTAGTTTGTTAACAGTGCTGAAAGTTATTATGAGACCTTTATTCCCCTCACAGAGCAACACACCCACCCTTCATTCAGCCTATGAATGAATATGGCTCAGGGCATTTGAATACTTTAATTATTTTCCTTTGGTACAATAGGGTCCATGTTTTGTAACCTGGTCTCATTTAACCATTATTTCAACGCTATAAATAGTTCAAATTGCTACCTTCCCTGCATTCACATACCTGTCGTTTGTTTACTTGTGTCTGTTTTTGTTTGACAGTGATCTATAATTTTTATGGACTACGTATATTGTCATCGGGATGCGGGTGGCGCTGTGGGTTAAACCACTGAGCCTAGGACTTGCAGATCAGAAGGTTGGTGGTTCGAATCCCCGCGATGGGGTGAGCTCCCGTTGCTCAGTCCCTGCTCCTGCCAACCTAGCAATTCGAAAGCACCTCAAAGTGCAAGTAGATAAATAGGTACCGCTCCGGCGGGAAGGTAAACGGCATTTCTGTGCGCTGCTCTGGTTCGCCAGAAGTGGCTTAGTCATGCTGGCTACATGACTCGGAAGCTGTACGCCGGCTCCCTTGGCCAATAAAGCGAGATGAGTGCCGCAATCCCAGAGTCGGTCATGACTGGCCCTAATGGTCAGGGGGCCCTTTACCTTTACCTATATTGTCATCAGATCCCATTTGATAACAATTTATCTTGCAAATACAGTGGATTAAATTGCCCTGGCAGCATGGCACAACAAATCCTGATGCCAACGACAAACAACAACGGTAATAATAATAATAGATGATGGGGAAATATACTGAAAAGTTGGACAAACAAATGACGAACAGGAAGATACATAAACACCATACAATCAAATCAGGAGGAATGCTCATTTGTTAACTCCCTGTAAACAAACGAGAACAAATACTCAACATAGCCTGGATATAGTCTAACCTAGCATGGTTTTTGATGATACCAGCAATGAGGCCACATAATACAAACACAAAGGCTTGGATCCTAAGATAACTTAATGGCAATTCATGGAAGGAAAGATTCCCTTCACCTCCTTCCCTGGTAACTCCCAACAGTCTGAACAAGGGATGGAGCTTAGAAGGTGCTGGGAGAGGGGACAATTGCACAGCTTCTCTGACCTCTCGTGCTCCATTCTACATCATAGTTGTGGCATCCCCTGTGATGCCCCTACAGCTCCATGACCACTGCAACCAAACTGGTCGCACTCCCCAAATCCTCTGCTAGCAATGCATGATGGGAGGGTGATGGAGCAGGCCAATGTAATGAGGGCAAGAAAGAGCCACCACCAGTTTTTGTTCTACAGAACAAAATAATAATGATAATTTTATTATTTATACTCCGGCCCTCTGGCTGGGTTGCCCCACCCACTGTGGGAGGCTTCCAGCACATATAAAACCATCAAATCAAAATCAAAATACCACCACTCTCCTCCCTCTCTCACACTCAAGCATACCTGTGCCCTGGTCACCAGTCAGGGTCATTCTGCACCAGCCTAACTTTTGAAAGGCTCTTTTGGGGAAAGTATTTGAACATCTTGTGTCATTTCCCCCAATAAGTGGGAGTAGAGGAAAGTAATAGATTAATCACACAGGTGGGTAGCCAAGATAATAGCAATGATCTCACACTGTGGAGGCTGGCTGTGAGGCCATGTTTTATTGTAGCTGTCGTATGCCAGCCCCTTTGGCTGTCCTGCGGTGAACCAAACTGCTTTGTCAAAAACCCGATTCCTTGTTTTCTCACCTTCACACCAGGAAACTACAACAGTCAACCGCCATCAACTATCCCTGTCTAAGGCAATCAATATAAAGAAGCAAGTCACTGGTACTGGTGATTTGAGGGAACTTTTATTGATTTGAACTGCTGATATAAATGGTGACAGAGCAAGTGGACGCAAGGCTGGAACATGTTTATTCCATCTATTCGATGCTTTTGGTTAATGTATTTATTTATTACACCACTCCCCCCTCCCAAAAAAAATACAAAATTTGCAATTACTATAATTGACACACATCAAAAAGGACAGGAGAAACAAAAATGTTGTAAATAAATAATTCTGATTTTATTTGGACATTCTGAATAATCCTACCTGCCACAACAACAAAGACACTCTCTACCTCTGAATTGTAATTAAGGGCCAGGGGGATACTGGGCAACTGTACAATACATTTTATGAAATAGTGATGTTTAAGTAATATTGATTTGGGGCTGGGGGGAATTTTTCAGTTTAAGCAAAACCATCAGAGCACTTCGTCTGTTACATTTTTCCTATGCTGAAAGCAATTCTGCATGGGAAATAGCTTTCACCTCCAGACTGTCAGTAGTTTACAAGATGGACTAAACAGCATAATGGAAATATATATTTTGGCACTCAAAGTGGATCAAAGTGCTCTGACACCCTGGTGCAACAAATGATTTTGCAGTTAGGAAAGTGCTTTTGCAGTTAGGAAAGTGCTTGGGAAAATGCACTGGAAAGTGGGATGAACAAATGATGAAAAGGAAGATGCATAAACACAGCTCAATCAAACCAGGATACATGCTCATTGTTGTATAACCTCCCTGTAAACAAGTAAGAGCAAATGCTCAACAAAGATCAGACACGGTCAGACTTCCATGTAAGCACCGCACAAGCAAATCAGATTTAATGCTCAATAAATAAGGGACCTAAAAGCACCCAACATCGTATGAGTGTATTTCACTACATGTACATGGTGTGCTGAGAAATTGGGACTGACCACAAAAATCATACATGTACACCATGCAACAATGCAAAAGCCTTAGTGGTGTCAGAAAAAAATTAGAGAAATAATAAAATTAAATGTGAAGGTTAAATTTGCA